TAAGCAACTAATTCTCTCTAGATAATATATCCAGGTCTGAACTTGTCTGAAGTCTGAAAATATTTGGATATAGGATTTTTTGAGCTACTCTGTCACTGAATACCATGGTAGTTTTAGTTTCTGTCTAAATAGCAGATTCTACATATCTGAGGCACCTTTTTGCTTACTGTAGCTTCAGTGAAGGTCCTGCTGGGTGCATCTGGCCTGCTGAATCAAGACACTGAGCAGTGCCTAAAAAATACATTATAGTATGTTGCTTTACAGCATAAAGGATTAAATTAAGATCTTAAACTGTGGTCTTTTTTATTGCTTGAGGCAGTATCTAGAGACATCATTGTGGTTATTATGGCAAATGTTGTGGTAGAAATAGGTTTTGATGTTGAAGGCTGTGTGGAGGTGATAGCTATGTGCACAGTATCTGATGCCGTTGTCCTTGCAGTTGTCAGCTTGCCAGTCTGATTCATCACTCTCTAGAGTGCTTGGAGGTTATGCAGAGGGTAACAGGAGCAATCTGTTATCTGCTGTAATTTGCTTTTGGGACCTAGGTTTCAGAAAATTCTGGAATGATTGAGGTTGGAAGGAACCTCTGAGACTGACTAGTCCAACTTCCTTGCTCGATGTGGGGTGAGCTAGAGCAGGCTACCCCGAGCCACATCCAGCCAGGTTTTGAATATCTCCAAGGATGGCTACTCCATAAGATTTCTGGGCAACTTGTTCCAGTGTTCAATCACCCTTAGAATAAGCAAGTTTTCTCTTGTGTTTAAATGGAATTTCATGTCTTTCAATCCAAGAAAATGTGCTTGCCTGCTGTCCTTTCGTTGGATACCACTATCTGCTTCTGTCTCCTTTCCATCCTCCCATAACATGTAAACATTGATAAGATCCTTCCTGAGCCTTCTCTTCTCCAGGCTAAATGATCCAAGTTTTCTCCACCTCTTCTCATATGTCAGGTGCTCAAGTCCCTTTATCAGCTCTGTGACTGTGTGCTGGCCTCACTTCAGTAAGTTCATGTCTTTCTTGTCCTGGAAAGTCCCACTCTGGATCTAGTGCTCCCAATATGTCTTGCCAGCGTTGAATACAGGGGAAGAACAGCCCCTTCGATCTGCTGTTCCCAGTGCAGCCCAGGAAGCTATTGGCCTTCCTTGTCATTGAGGACACATTGCTAGCTTCTGTTCAATATTTTGTCCACCAGGACCTGCAAGTCTTCTTTGCAAAGTTGCTTTCCATCCAGTGCTGATACAAGGGGTTGTTCTTCCCCAGAGGCAGCACTTTGCATTTCCCTTTGTTGAACTTCATGAGGTTCCTCTTGGCCTGAACTTCCAGCCTGGGAAGGTGCCTCTTGGTGGCAGCCCAGCCATCCTGTGTACCAACCACTTCTCCCATCTTGGCTGGAAACTTGCTGATGCAGCCTGTCCCATTATCCAGGAAGATAATTAAGGAAGACAGAAAATGGTATTGGCCCCACTATTGGCCCAGAGGTACACCACTAGTGACTGGCCTCCAGCTGGACTTTGTACCACTGATGATAACCCTGTAAGCCTGGCAGTTCAGCCAGTTTTCAGTCCACCTCACTGCCCACTTACACAGTCTGTACTTCCATGGATGGGATGGGATGGGAGACAGCATTGAAAACCTTACTAAAGTCAAGATAAGCAACATCCACCAAGCTGATTATCTCACCATAGAAAGCTATCAGGTTGGTTAAGCATGATTTCAGTATGAAGAGGTTCCACACCTGGTATTTCACCCTCTATGTCAGAAGATGACTGACGTAGCTTTTCTGTTACCTTGTAAATGCTTTCTAAAATGAGATTTGTAACATATAGGCCGCTAATAGAGATTTAATAAAGCTACTAAATGACATCTAATGCATATCAGTCATGCTGAAGTAGATCTTGCTGCTGCCAGGCAGCCTGTAGTACAGGATCTGCAAATGAGTATGGGTCTGTTAAATACATTTTTTTTTGAAAGGTCTGGAAATCAGAGTACCTATTCTGCCATGGAATGACGGCCGAATTGACTCCCATCTGAATTTGCCCGTCGTCTCTATACTGATCCAGTAGCTATTTTTGGTATCCCTGATAAATCCATGAGTTGATGTCATCTTTAGCTCTTTTATTTTCATATCTCTGAAGAAAGGCTGATACTTGGGATTTCTTTTCACATGAATCTTTGAATCTCAGAAAATCTGTTGTAGGAATTTGTACACAAAATATGAATGTATTTTGTAATGAATCTGGACTTGAGTGAGTCTGCCTTTTCCAGTCTTGTATTGCGGTGATATAAAATACGTGCTTGGCAACAGCTCTGGGAGTTAATAAAGTTTCTGTGGTAAACTATGAGAGGCCTGAGAATTTCAAAATAAAGTTATTGCACCAGTAACTCAGAAAAGCAATTCCTAAAACTCCTGGCCTATTTATCCAGAGGGTTAGCAGTAGCACAGAAATGGAAATCATTGTTGAGAGCCACTGTGTACTTGGAATTAAAATCCATCAGTCTTCTGAAGCTGAGGAGAACGATTTTCATGACATACAGATGCTTCTGTATTTCATAACGAAAATTAAATCTGGGGTGTTTTTTTACTCTATTTATAGGGAAATTCGTATCCTCTAATCCCTATAATATACCTAACTTGAGATGACATCAAAAGAAATAATGCACACAGAAGCTAGGCATTGAAAATACTCTCAATGCTTTATTTTATTTAATTTCAGTAAAAGCAGATTTATCTGTTTGAGAGAGAGGGATGGAAAAGAAGCGAGGATGACATCCCCTTCTCAAGCAGGAACCTCGAGCACAGAAATCAAAAGACGAGGTGGGGAAATGAAAGTAACTGTAAACAGAAAATTAAATTTAGGCTTGTTTCACTCTTGCTGGAAAAGGAGGGCAGAAGAAAACTAGTAAATCATTAAAAAGCAGAGTTTGCTTTTCTGAGTTGCAAGTTGAACTGTGTTAGCTGTTGACAGGGTCTTCATGCAGCCCTTGCTTAGGACTTTTCTTCAGGTTCTTAACATACCTGTTGGCAGCTTCCTTGCCTTCTGGGAATTTAGTCCAGTTCAGTGGAGTGTAATGACAATGTTATGTCCCAAATGAGATAAACAGTGTATCTGCCTCTGGAGCAAAGAAAAGTCTTCTAGCTGGTAGCAGTCTATAGTCTGCAATTTGGAACTGATCCATGCTTGTAGCAGGCACAAGTGATGGTTGTTGCAAATGTCATACACGTATGTTATATTTCCTTTCAGAAGTGTGTCTTAACTTGATTGCATCCAAATTTTGGCGTACTTCTGGAGAAGGAGGTTGTTGGTATGATGCCAGATAAACTGTGTAGTTTCTTTTGTTCAGAGCATCTGTTCCAGTGGGTTCCCTTCCCCAGGAAAAATGTGTTCTTGTGCACAGCCTGTGTACAAGCACAAACCACACGCCGGGGGGCGGGGGTGGTACTTGATGAGGAAACATTGTTGTGAGAGCAATGAAAAATGTGTTGCCCCTGACTCATTATGTTGACTAGCAATAGTTACAGTCTTCCTCAAAAATGCTTAAAATTGGTGTTTGAAAGCAACTTAAGGAAACGCAATAATTTTCTGTTCTCATCTTATAAAAATTGCAGCTGGAGCTGTAAAGAGCATTTCCTAATAGGCTTTATTAGACCCCTATGGTCTTTTTTGGCTCCAGCTGACCAGTTACAGTACACTACAAAGAGATCTTTCTGCCTTGGTGCTGCATCTTTTTTTTTTTCTGTAACAGAAGAAATGTGAAAAAGTGGATTAGTAGTGACTGAGTGGCTTTACAGAATCTCTTGTCTCTGACCATGTTTATGGTTAGTAAGCAGGCACTGAATAAACTGGGGTGAAATGTGTGATGGGCTCTGTATCGCTGCTGGAGTAATACACACCTCTTGGGAAGCAGCCCTTCGCAAATGGTGTCAACAAGTGCTTTTTACTGACAGTCTGTGCCCAAGCATGAAAGGTGAAATGGGCCAGAGCATGCTATCATACAAGTATTGTATTCCTTGAAGTTTTCCTTGCAGATCAGAATTCTGGTATGTTGGGGAAAAGACAGATACTTATATTTTTACTGTCTTCCTTTACATATGTCTTGCTGGATACAGAACATTTGAAAGTTAAATCAGAGGGTGATGTGTAAGAGCTGAGGGTCTAGGAGTAGTTGTGCTGCCTGGCAAGGTGTTTCAGGTGGAGCAGCAGACACAGCTGATCAGAGGGGAGAAAATGAATGTTAACCAGGCCTTGATGTCTTCTAGCATCTCAGAGAGTAAATTAAGCTCAGACTTTTTGTTCTCATTTTTCTTGGCAACAAACAGACTAAGTAGAAACATTCTTGGAGTGTGGATGTTTGTGTCCAGGGCTACTAATCCAGTTCCTTACTTCCTTGATTTACTTGGTGGGATTTTTTGTTTGTTTGGGAAGCAGGGGTGGGGAGGAAGTGTGAGGAGGAGAAATGGCATATTTTACTTGTAGTGCTTCATGCGTGTGTAGACGTTGCAGCCAGCTACATTAGAAGCAAAGTGTTACCTCAACCGACGACGCAGTGCTGGGAATTAAGCTATTGTGCAAGCCCTGGAGACTGGCTTATTGCCTGAGTGACTCAGAGACTTTGCCAGTGAGAAGCAGGAGGAGTGATATTTAGAGGGAGTGTGCATGTGTGCTACAGATTTCACAGCTTCCTTTGCAAAGAAAGTTAGGCTTCTTCTAAACAGGAGGCAGACATCTGTGAGAAATCTGGGAGCACAGAAGTGTGACAGAAGAGAGCAATAAGCTACTATTTAGCTCAGTTTTCCACATCTTACCTGGGTGGAAATAAGATCCATGGGAAGGAAAGACCCTGACCATGGGGCACTGTGAGGGGAGCAAGGGCTGGGCTAGGGGGCACAGTATGACTAGTCATATGTGGAGCTGCTGCTTTGGGAGATTTGGTCCTTGTAAAGTAGCCTTTCTTACTGCTCTTCTCCTTTGTTCTTTCCTCGTGCTGTATGATGAGACCAGATGGGTGTTGCTTCAAAGGAGAGTTGGACATCTAGAGAAACCATTTCGGATCTCACTGGAGTATGTTGCTAATGGGAACAAGAGCATAGCAGCTGTGGATTCCTTTGCGATGAAGAACTGCAGTACAGGTAACAAAGTATTTTATTGCTTCTAGCTCGTAGTCTTTTGATGCCTTTTTGGAGAGGAGCATGATTTCTGGCTCTTACAGAACCTTCATAGAATGAAAGCTTCTTGTCAAATCAATCATTTAAATAAAAAAAAAAAAAAAAGGATCCCTTCCAGGGAAGCATTTTTTTTAATGTTACCTTAGAAGTTTTTAACTTCTTGAACGAAGGAAATTGAGTTTTTTCTCTTTGGAAAGAATTTCATTTTTTGAAAATTTTCATTTTTTTAAAAAATTTTTCATTTTGGGAGAATCAAAGCAGTATTCATCCTGGCTTGCCAGATGCCTATCCCAATTACTTCACTTTCTGCAGTAGAAAGTAGAACAGATGAGTGGTTCTTAGACAGATATAGTTTGTGAGACATCTTTTTGATGTTCCTGGTAACAAATTTTAGGGTTGGTTTGTGGTTTGGTTTTTTTTTAAACAACTCTGGAAAACTTGATTCTAATATAATATGCCTTTGGCAATGTTCCAAAGCAGTTATTGCTGAGTAACCCCAAATAGCTCAATGTAGTGTGTGGAATTTTAATAATGGGCAGCCTTAATGGGGGTTACTTTTTTAAATACAAGCCCTGTTATCAATTAAAGTATGTAAATTTAGTGCTTCATGCCAGAAGCAGCTGCATTTTCATTCTACCAGCTTTATGTAGCTTGTGAATCATACTGAAATCTTTAGGTGGTATGTCAGTGAAGAATATTATTACTTATAGCACTTAACAAGTTACCTTTTGTCTATTTTATTTATTTGGAGTACTGCTGAGTTGAGCTGCATGTCCTTCTTTTCAGCCTGTCTAGGACAGGGAAATCTGCTGGAGAATATACATTATTTTGGTTATTTATGTTGCTCTTCATGAAGGCCAGTTGTATTCAGGGGTTTATTGCACTGCCCATACATAAAGGTGATCTCTAAGCTCCAACAAGGAGCAGCTTGCCATTGTGGTGAAAGCAATGGCATGTTCAGACAGAATGTGCCTGTTCTGCTGCTGATGTACGGAATGCATCTTGGCATCTCTCTAAGGCTGAAAAGACAGTATTTCAACTCCCCAAAACAAAAAAGTGAATGGGACAGAAGTGATTTGAATCCACAGTGCTTTTGTAACTCATTGCAACAAATTTTACAACAGACTATGGGAGATATTCACGTCCCATGAAGGTATATGAATTCTTCTCTTGGGAGTGCTTGAAGGAGACCTGTAGGTGGCAGACAGTCAGCTGAGTGAAAGAATAATGTTGGCTGAGTGAGCTCCTACCAATACTGGGCACTGTTCTGCAGATGACAGATGTCAGTTGCTGAATTCATTGAGTTCTATTGTGAGCAAAAGAAGGAACAAATCTCCTATTTTTGTCTACAGATTTGTAGTAACTGGCTACTCCCCTGCTCTGCTTACAGGACACAATGTATGAATAATACCACCAGGGAATAAAACCACTTGTTCTTTTTTCAGTTGGTTGAAACCGCTAAGCCTTTTGTACACAGCTGAAGATGTGGTACTCTGTCCTTTTATGAGAAAGAAGGTGGTGATGAGCAGCTGTGGGTGGCATCTTAGGCTTGGAGAAAATAGGGAAAGCAGTAAGAAAAGATTAATCTAAATCTAATGTTTCAGCAGCTGTTAGAAGCCTTTGGGCAGCTTAACTACTTGGATACCTTAATGTCACTGAAGCACCTAAAACATTTGTGAATTTGGGAAAGAAATATCTGAGAAAAACTGACAAGCCTTCAGCCCAATTTTTCTAAGCCTTTTGAAGACCATATGCACAAGTTAAGGTGCATAGACAATCTTGGGAAATTAGGGTACCATTTCCATAGTTGGATACAGGTTTGACTTGAAGAAGGTAGAAGTTTGAGGTTGGGATTTTATTTGAGTGCTGGGAATTCCATTTTTTGAGTTCTTTAATCATGGAAAAGATGATATGTTTTATTGCATTTGAACTGAAAAAGTAACAGCCTATTTGGGATCGAATGGGGAATTACAAATTTTTAGAAATCAGACTAAAATTCTGATTTTTTTTTAATTCTAAATTTAAAAATTCTAGATTCATATCCCATCTAACTACAAATTGTTAAGTGGAAGCATAACTCTATCATTGCATTGTCTTAATTGTCCTCCACATTTCCCTTTCTTCATTCAACAGTGTAGCAGGTAAGTAAATCAAAACGATATGTCACTTGAAAATTTTTGCATTTCCCAATTCACATCATATAATCAGTTTTGATTGGATTAGCTTGAAAGCAAAGCCCTTACAGATTGAAGGGTTTCATTTGGGTTTGGGTTTTTGGGGTGTTGTGGGGTTTTTTGGGGTTTTTGGGGTTTGTTTTATGTGCTCAGGATTGCCAAAACTGTATTTGGTGCATCTCTTATCGTTGCTGTAGTTCATCACCACCGTTCTTCCCGTGCACTCCATCCTCTGGCTTTCATTCTTTAAGGGCTTTTTAGTGCTTGACATGTGCTAAGTGCTTGCTTTTTTTGTTTGTTTGTTGTTTTTTTTTTCTGAAAATATTCCTGCACCATAGGATTAGATTCCAATCAGAAAGTCCCTACAGTCGATAGAAAGGCTGCTTGAACTTCTCTAGGTTTTGAATCAGGATGGTTAACAGGTAGCATTGCCCATCATCCTACAGCCAATTGACTTTCAATTACTGTCCTAAATGTGAAGCAGATTGTGTTTGTCAGTGTGTAAAACCTAAACTATTGATCATCTAATTTTCTTTCTTACAACTTATTATTTAAATAAGTGCAGTATCCAAAGGAAAAAAAGAATTATGAATTGCAGAGGAGTAATATATTGATTTAATAATGTCAGTTAAGACTTTGTTCCTTCTACAAGTAAAGTAATTGGTACAGTGGCATTTTATAGTTGATGGTAATTTCTAGTAATAAAAATAGAGTTCATTTCCTAAGTAATGTATTGACTTATTAATGATATTTAATGGGTTTCTTACTGATTTTTATTGCAGTTGTAAATTAATTAATTTGCTAACTTATTTCCAAAAGTCTTAATTGAAGTACTAAATAGTAAGCACAAGTAAATGACAAGACGTTGTTTTACTTAGCAATGTTCGATTTACCAATTCTAAGTAACTTTTTAAGTTAGGGGTGTGGAGATCAAATGCTTCTGAAACATGTTAAAGGTTTAATGATGCTCTGAGGCTGTTAAAAGCAGTTATTTCAGACACGCAGCCTGTCCAAGAGGAAGCACTTAGCTTTCAAGTTTTCAAGCTCAGTAAGCAACATAAAAAACATATTTATTTTGGAGAGGGGAGAAACTGTGTGTTGTTGATTTAAGATAATGCTTCTGTCCACTCAGCAATAGCTTCAGTAGATACTGAAAGTATCTACATAGAAATACACTCATTACCTTTGGAGCTTGTAAGTAGTGAGTTCTGTAATGATCTCATGGTTATAATACATATGCAAATTTCTGAAAGTTGAAGTTAAGGTTGTACTGAAAGCAAAATCCTTTATCCAAAGCAGAGACCTCTCAAGAAAGGAAAAAAATGTGAAGACCTGAAGGTAATTTTACTGGAAAAAGAGATAGTGAGGGAAGAGTAAGCATATGGATTTGCAACATGTATGAAGAAATATGAGCAACTGCCAGATAGAGTTTTTCATGATTGTATTTGATAAATAATCTAGCAACAGATTTAGGAATCAACTGCAGGAAATCAATAAGGGCTTTCTCCAAACAGGATTACTTATGTATCTGAATCATTACTAAAATGATGTTTTTGTGTATTCAGACAAAACCTGAATATGTATGATTTCAGTTTTCCCACATACGCTCACTTTCTGCAGTTTGTCTTATAAATTAATTTGCTGACAGGATGTTGTGGTTAACTGAACTTAATGAAATACCAGTGAGCCCTTTTCAAAATGAGTTCTTGATGCTTCCTACTAGAAAATTGCCTAGAAAAGTTAAGCTTTTCCAAACTGAGAACTGAAATAATATCAGTGTATCTGATAGAATTGTAGAACAGCCGAGGTTGGAAGAGACTTCAGAAGATCATCTGGTCCAACCTTTTGTGGGAAAAGGAGCCTAGGTGAGGTTACCTAGCACCCTGACCAGCTGCATCTTGAAAACCTCCAGTAATGGGGACACCCCTCCCTGGGGAAGTTGTTCCAGTGGTTGGTTGTTCTCACTGTGAAAAATGTAAACACAGGTTTCTAATTGAAGTCCAACATGACATACTTACAGCTAGTTTAGATGTTAATAATTAATTCATAAAAAATTTTGTATAACTTCTAAGTAAGTTTCACTTGAGTAAAATTTCAAGATGTTTACAGAAGATTTATGAAGCCACTAACTTAATTGTGTCAATATTTTTTAATGAATTATTTGCTTAGTTGTAATTATGGGACAGTGGAGAGAAGACATGTACCTTCAGTGGAACCAACCATGTCATCTTACATGTTCTGGAGATCCACCACTGTCCAAAAATTGAGGGAAGCAGGTGGACAGAACAGCGAGCACAGTCAGTATTGTGCTGCTGTTATAAAACTGAAAAATAGACATGATTACAAAAAATAAATAATAAAAGTAGTCTTAAATTTCAGAATTAGTTGTCTCTATTTGAGGTTTACGACCAACATTTACCCTAATACTTACTTGGCCTATCTAGGCCATTTTTGTGTAAGCAAAGCTGCAGAAATTCATTTTGCATTAATGCCACAGTTAAGGAGCTTATCAAGTCAGAGGATAGATCCAGAGCTAATTGAAGTCAATGAGAGTTATTCAGTATGTTTGGATTTAGTTCTGCGTATCCTTCATTTAAAAAAATAAAATTAGGCAGATTGGCTGCATTTTCCTTGGAGTGGCCTATGCTATTTATACCACTGAGCTGGTTTTCCTGTGGATATAATTTCACAAAGTAGGCATTTGGAAAAGCCTTACTATTTTAAGAATATTTACCTCCAAATGCTTTGGCAACCACCTTGCTCCCCATTCACCTCTGCTCTCCCAAGAGG